TGCTCTCCCTCTCTGTCTACTGCCCCGAGTTCTCTCAAACAGTCACTTGGGACCCAGTCCGTCTGCTGGGCGTACGGGCTCTCCCGAGTCAATCTACTCTTATCTATTCTCCCTTCCTTTGTGTACACAATACATTCTTCATACTACTCTGGCGTTTTCCGACTTCTCTCCTCCACTAAGTAACCATGGTCTGAAGATCGCAGTTGCCGGGTTTGACTCACTTAATCTCCTGCGATAAAGTCACCTGAAATTATACGCAAGTGTTCACCTCGCTCGCTGGCATGTTTTTAGCTGAAATGTCTGTGAAACTTTCAATAACCCTTACATCCTTATTTCTCAAGAAAAGGACGTAGTGTTTGCGCTGAACTTTAACTTACTATTATTACAATATAGTTAAAATTTGCAAAAATGTTACCGGAATCGTCCTTCTCAGGAAAAACTAACATCGAAGAAAGTCGCACTTTTGCAAAATAACTTTAAATATTTCTTAATGAGTAACAGGAATGAACTACGCACGATAGATATAGAGAGCATGAACAAGAAGTGAGCTTAACATAGTATGGAGTCTAGGACATTAAAGTCATCCTTTGACAGAGGAACCTTAGATTTGAGACGGTACGAGCAGGTGTACCGTCTTTGTGAACCTTTCGTTAGGCGTATAATTGTCGTATATACATGCCCATGTGACGGAGACGCCCTTAGTCATGCTCGTTTATAAGGCCTTCTTGTTGATCTATTTGCGGCAGTCATTCACTTGTGTTTCAAACCCATCCGCATAATAAAACACATGTTGTGTCCTACTATAATTTTATTTGCCCACAACATAGGTAACTTTTGCTTTAACTCTGGCTGTCTCATTCATCGACGCACGAACTCTATGAATAATAGTTTTTTTGAAAACAATTCGAAAAGGTATTGGAGTTCGGCTTGGTTGAGATCGGAGCAAGAAGAAAACATTCCATCTTCATTAATTAGGGTGGTATCAGCACCTCTTTTGTGAGCAATAAGGTGGTTGCTCTTGTAATGAGGGATAACATCAGCATACGTATGTTTGCGTCGAACCGATGCTCAAAACGTCCCGTTAGTATTACGCTGCAGAAGGACGTCAAGAAATTGAGTTTACTGTTAACTGCTTTTTCGAGCTTAAACGTGATTCCTGGCATCGCTGAATTGATGATGTATCCAGCGGGCCTTTTTAAAAATGGCGAACGTGCCATCCATATAATGTACACACAATTTGGGGTTAACTAGAGGAAGGGCCATACATTATATCATTATTTCACCCAAGAATCCCGAAGTGGATGATTCTTTCGAGGCTCATTGTATCTGCATACATGATTGTTGTGCAGATGGGAAATAAGTTTCCAAACACACATATAAGGATTCATACAGGGGAGATACAATAACATCAATTACGCAGGAATTAAGTAGTTCTTCTGTGTTTTGTCTTGCTTAATCTTATGGTATAGATTTGAAAAGGGAAACCGTAAGGACAGAGCTGGATGTTTGAATAGAAATAAGGTCGCCTACATAATTTCTTGCGGCGACTGCGAAAGCAC